AATTTAAGCACACTATTGCACATTTTGCCAAAGAGTAAGATGCAAGTGGTAGTGGGTTTCAACATGGCTAGTATTACAACCTTCCTCTTGTAACCCATTTTAAAAGCTGTGATCTAATGAGAAGTTGGAACTTGCTATTTGTGAAGGATGTATAAGGACCAAAGCCTCTTCTTTTATTGTGGATTTGCTTCTTTTCTCGTTTATACTGTTGTCCTGTTGTTCTTTGTTATTTATATAAAGAAAAATTATAAAAAAAAAATTTATATAAAAAAATGCCGGATTTCATGGAAGCAGATCTTTTTGTTAATTTTAGGACTTCCAATGTATCTCTGACATTTTTATCCTCATGTAGGTCTTGACCGATACAGATCATTGCTATTGTGTGCTTCTTAATGCACTTGATGGGGCAGCATTTCCTAGTGAAAAGGGTACAAATGATAACACTTCCAGTAACAAATCACCATTAAGAGTAGATACTAATTCTGTGAAGACGAAAAACAGTAAGGTTTGCATCCTTTCTCAGCTTTGTGATAATTTATGTGTGTATTGGTTCCATGATCAACCAGAATCTTGACTTTTGAAGGAGGTAATTAGAACTTCTTGGTTTTTTATGTTGCTGTAAGATTGTCAAGTGTACTATAATTTTCTTGGTTGAAAAAAATATTGCAGAACATGCCAAAATATTTTTTTTCTTTGAGATGCCTATTTTCCTTGAATAACTTATAAATATTCCCTTCCTCCTTTATCAGAATCGTGAATTTTTTATTTTTCTTTTGCCTGTAATGAATGTTACTTGCAGTCAAGACACCAATATATAGAATGCCTTCTGAATTCTTATTATTCTTTTTGCTGTGAACAACAGATTGATAAGTAAGGCGCTAGTGGCGTGGCATAGTTGACTAGGACTTTAGTGGGCTTTCTAATTTCTAACAATGATGCATTTCACTGAGAAAGAGTCTTTACATTTTTCCTGTGAACATTCAAAGTATATTAACATAAACGATGAAAGTGGTATATAATTATTTTTCCTAATGTTTGTTGCATTTAATGATGCCAACTAGGAATATTTTATCATCATGAACAAGTTTTGTAGATGTAAATAACATTTTGTTAGCATCGAATGAACTGATACCATTGAATTCTGTAAGCTGGTTAGGAATTATATAGGTGCAACAGTACTTGGTTGGAATATCAGTTTGCTGACAACTTGACATGCTGCTAATTGTTATTGCAGCTCACACTTTTTCCTGGATTTGTCAGCTATCAAATGGTTCGGGATGCATATGATGGTACACTATGGAATCAGTCTTCCAAACAATTGCCTTCGGTGTTTTGTTCATTCAGAATTCTGCAAAAACCTAGGGCATCATCTAATAAATATTTTTCTGCTTTGTGTTTATGAAATTGTGACGAAGGAATTGATTTATATGTGGAACACGCAAGAGTGGCATATTTAGCATTGGATTCTGTTCTTTTGATTAAGCAACAGCTAACTTACCTTTTAGTAATCATGCAATGGGTTTGAACCCCCGTAGGTTCCTTTTGATCAACATTTGTTGAGAAACATGCACAATAAGTCTGTAAATTTCCAGTTTATTTCATGTTGAGTAAGCTTGGTCTAGTTTAAAGGGTGCTAGAAATGTAGAATGCTTAAATTATGTTCTGAACAGCCTATCCTTGGCGTATATTTTATTCTAAATGTGTTCTTCATGCTTATTTAGTACTCATTTCATATCATTGTCCTTACTTTTGCAGCTGGGAGCTCCGGATTTGGAAGTCTTCTGTCAATTGCTTATTCCTCTAGCAATAAAGATAGACTTTACATGAAAGGTCCTGGAGGACGTGGGGAAGTTGAAGTGGTTGTTTCAGGTGTGGTGGGTAAGTAAGAAACTCGTTTGTAGAATCTATCTTCTAAAATTTAATTCTTAATTTGCTTTTTCCTCAATGCTTATGTAGATTAGATGTTTCAAAATAAGTTTAACGTGTCCAATTCATCAATCATTATGTTAATTTCAAAGCAACTATTATTGTGGGGTATTGAGCATATTAGCTGACTGATGTTAAGTGAATGATGCATGCAAGTGTTGAGCAGAATATTGAATCACCTTTTCTTATCAGATCAAAGCAAGATGGACTGGGGCCCCTTTTCACCAATCATATCAAAAAAGGGTTTCGGACTTGGCTCAATTGTTCGTAAAGCAGCTTCAGTTGCATCTGTAGCAGCAAAGAATGCTTATGCAGCTGCTGCTGCCACTTCATCTTCTGAGGAGGAGATGATACCTCTCAAATGCTGCTTAATATCTATAACATTGCCCTGGGAAGATATTGCTTATGATCTTTTGTTCAAGGTAAGATCATATTTCGCAATTGCTTTTGCTGCTAGACTGATTTCGTGCTACACGCCAATGACCAGGCTAACTTCATTTTACGTTTATTACCGAACTCAGGGTAGTCCTCCAGTGAACTTGTAGATGGCTTGTAATCATGTTGTCAAAATCTAGAAAACATAGTAGGAGCTAGCTGTGGAAGGGAAAAGCGTTCTAGAAGTGCGAGTGAAAAAATTTCCAGCATGAAAGGGGGATTTAGCGTTATCTCTATATACATTGGCGTTGGGGGGTGTGATGGAATAGTGTACATTATTAATTGCAAATACTAGTTTGTTCTTTGTGATGCTTCCATTCTATCAGTTTCATTTACATTCCTAGTGGATTTAAAGGTTTTATGATCGACTTTACTCTCTTCTATTCTCATTATTATTTTTATTATTATTAATTTTGCAGTATTTAGTTAGTTAGTCAATGAAGAATGTACGCTTCTAGCCTAAATTGGTCTTAAATGATCTAATTTTATTTCACTCATATTTTCTGTTTATTTTGACTTTTTCAATATGTTCTCCTCCGGTGTAATTTTTTAAACTATTTTTAATATTTTACTTAAAATGCTTTTATATTTTTAAAAGGTTTAAATGCATCATTTCCCCTAAACAATGCACTTTGTACAGAGTTGTTCCTTAAGCATTAATTCCCTAAAAAAGTTAAGGATAAATTATATATTTAGTCACTCAATTATTCTCATAATTTTTGTTTTGGTCACTTAATTATTATTCTTCTCATAATCATCACTAAACTTAAATTAATTTCTTAAATGAGTTTTATATATTTAGTCACTCAATTATTCTCATAGTTTTGTTTTGGTCACTCAATTATTATTCTTCTCGAAATTGTCACTAAACTTAAATTAATTTCTTAAATGCGTTTTAATTTGTTTGGGGTTCAATCCCTTCTAAAGTTTAATAATGCGAAATTTCAAACTCTTATTTTTTTTAAGATAATTTCCTCAATAGCATAATTGTTTATGTGCTTAATTCTTCGTATAATCTAACATATTTGAGTCACATGTATATTTAGACTTCAGAACTACAAATGTTCAAATATTAACGAGAGTATAAGTAATGAAGCATAATATTAAGGACTAAATCCAAGGACAAGAGTAATCACATGATCATAAATTTAGCAAAATATTCCAATGTCAACCAGCTGCGACGTATGAATGACTGTATAAATGTATGTCCTTCAGAAATGGCTTACATGAAAATTTAGATTTAAGTTTAGTGATGATGTTGAAAAAGGAAATAGATGACCAAAACAGAATTGTGAGAATAGTTGAGTGACTAAATATGTAATTTGATGTACTTCAGCACCAGAAGAGCTAGTCTTCCTTTCAGTGTACGTGTTTGTGGCTGTATATGGCCTTTTCTTTTCCTTATTTTTTCTGGAGGGAAGCTTAAATGGCGTGTACCATGATATCGTTGAGGAAACAAAGGGAACTCTACTGTTTACTAACAGACCTAAGCTCATTGCTCATTGCTCATTGCTCATTGCTCATTGCTCATTGCTCATTGCTCATTGCTCATTGCTCATTGCTCATTGCTCATTTGCTCATTGCTCATTGCTCATTGCTCATTTGCTCATTGCTCATTGCTCATTTGCTCATTGCTCATTGCTCATTTGCTCATTTGCTCATTGCTCATTTGCTCATTTGCTCATTTGCTCATTGCTCATTTGCTCATTTGCTCATTTGCTCATTGCTCATTGCTCATTTGCTCATTTGCTCATTGCTCATTGCTCATTTGCTCATTTGCTCATTTGCTCATTGCTCATTTGCTCATTGCTCATTGCTCATTTGCTCATTTGCTCATTTGCTCATTGCTCATTTGCTCATTGCTCATTGCTCATTTGCTCATTGCTCATTGCTCATTGCTCATTGCTCATTGCTCATTTGCTCATTGCTCATTGCAATGAGGGTTGTCTTTCTTTTCTTGGACCACATTATTGGCTAATATATGGATCATCAATTCTAGTCTATAATCTAAATTGTAAACTTTTTTTTAATGTTATTGCATGAAAAACAGGAGCAATAATCCGCTTTTCTTCTCATCTTTTTAGTTTTATTGATTTGGCACGCCGAGTACATAAAACTAATCACAGTCCACTTGATTTTAGTTATCTAACATTGTTAATTTTGTTTAGGGATCTCGTTCTGAAGTGCTGGAACAAGAGAAATTACAGCCAAGGAACAACATGCTTAAGGTTTGTATTTTTTATCATAGAACTTGCATTATCTTCTTTTGTCACCAATTATTAGCATATACATATTCATTTTTATTTGTTTTCTGATGTTCCAATTTGCAGTATGAACTAGAGCGTGAGAAGCTTGAAATGGAACTGGAAGAGGAAAGATCACAGAAAGAACGAGAACAACACATTGGAGACCAGCAGCAGAAGATTGAAAACCTAAGTTGTCTGGTTTAAGATGGTGATAGAAGTTCTAGTCAGGTATAACCATAGTCTGATTGTGGTTCCTAAACAACAAGATCGCCACCTCTAATTTGTGAATCCCCTAAGCTCATTCCATGGAAATCAAGTCATCTGTCCATCTCTTAGAACACTTCATTTATCTTTTTCTTCTGGCTTCTGCTTTCTTGATTTCGTATAGTCTTATTTCAGTAAATCAGATGCCACAAAACTTAAACCTTTGAAGTAAAAAATTTCCCGTGTCTCATGACCTTCCTCTGTCATATGTTTAGCTACAGATTAGAGCAAATGTTTTAACTTATAATGTACAAATTTACAAATGAGGTATAAGGCAGTAGCTGAATCATGGTAGCAAAATCGTTTTATATTATAATCTTTTAGCTAGTCTCATGGACTACTTTTTTCTCTATGGACTATTAAAGAATCATTTAGTAATTGAGTCAATTCTTATTATTTTTGCATTTATCTATGTGATGCGGAAACTTGATTACTTTTGGTGAGGGCAGGATTCCATGAAAGAAAGTCCAAAAGATGAAAGTAACGATATAGGAGACGATTTTAAAACCCGTTGTTTTAAAACGGCTGGCATCGCCTTTGTTGCCATGAGATCAAATAATTCAGAGTTGCCAGATTTGAGTCCACTTCAAGATTCTTTTAGCAATGAAGCTGATGCGGACACTTGGTTCAAAATGAATAAAGGCTAAGTTGCAGATCTTGATTCACTTCAAACAACTCCTGCAAGAAAAGTTCAATCATTTCCACCCCAAGATATAGCTCCTGTGAGTCGATAATTCCAAGTCATTTTTCTTCTTCATTTGTTATTGTATGTTTTTCGAAGCCCAGAAAAAGAAAATGGTATTGGACAGCTGCATAAAATTTTAACTTACTATATGACTGCATGTTCAGGATTTCTCAAATGATAACTACAAAGCACAACTCCAAAATCTCAAGAGACGGATAGAACTTGTCATCGAAGAGAAGAATGAACTGGAGATCAGTATGTGGCTTACATTCCACTTTTTTCTTGATAAGCATGTTGGATCTCTCCTTAATTGGAGAGGTTCTAGAAAATTCTAGAGCTTTCTGGAGAAGTATAGAATTTTCTAGAACATTCCGGGGAACTCTAGAGAAGTGTAGAACTCTCTAGAAGCTTGTGTAAGAGTGTGGAATCCTCTGGAATATTCTGAAGTTGTGTGGAACCTTATGGAAGAGTATGAAAGAATATGGAAGGGAGTGGAAGAGTGTAGAGATTCTTAGAATGTGTGGAGCATTCTAGATAATTAATCTCCACCCTTGGATGTAAGTAATCTCCACCATTCATTGTGGATGTGGAGTAGTATAAATAGGGGTGAAAGACTTCATTCCTAACCATCCAAGAAATCCAAGCTTGAGAAACTATAGAAACTAGAGAGTTAGAAAGCCTCTTTGAGAGAGAAGAGAGATAGCTTGGGAAGTCTTTATCCTCAAGCTTGAGTGAGCCACCAAGTGTGAGTCAATTTTTTTGAACACATCCTTGTAATCTTACTATTCTTTTGTATAGTGGAAAAATCTCCAAATTGGAGAATTATACTCTTGTGCTCTCTTTACTATCCTTAATCTCTAAGTGTCTATCTTAACTTCACGAAGCGGGAAAGACCGTGATTCCCAACAGTGGTATCAAAGCTAGGTTCATCCATAGCCGTATTTAGCTCGTGCAGTTCAAGATGGAGGTTAACGTTGCTCATGATGGAGACATGTTCAAGCTCACATTCAATAACTACTTATATTGGAAGCCGATGATGGAGGACCACTTGTACTGCAAAGATTTGCATGAGCCCATCATCTACAAAGACAAGGTAGAAGGCAAGAGTGATGCTCAATGGGAGCTACTAAATCGGAAGGTCGTTGCTATGATTCGTAAGTACATTGATAAAACCCTCTTTGAGCATGTTTCTACTTATACAAATGATTATGAATTATGGACAAAGCTTGAGTCCATGATTCAAAAGAAAATGCCTCGTAACAAAGTCAATTTAGTTCGACGGTTGGTGAAATTGGAGTATAAGGATGATCAAAGTATGATTGAGCACTTAAATAATTTCAAGGGGCTTGTAAATCAATTAACAAAAACCGAGATAAAAATCGATGATGAGTTGCAAGCCCTTCTACTCCTTAGTTCCTTACCGGAAAGTTGGGATACACTCGTTGTTACACTTAGTAATTCAGCTCCGGAACGAAAGCTCACCACGGATACCGTTAGTGATAGCCTGCTCGGTGAAGAAGCAAGGGGAATGGAACGAGGGGGTCTATTCATCCCGAAGCTAATATTATTGAGAATCCGGTAGGAATAAAACTCGTGGACATAGTAAAAGCTGAGATCCGCATCAATCTTGAGGTAGATCTAAGTCATGCTCGAAGATTACATGCTACTACTATGGAAGGATGGGCCACAAGAAAATGGAATGTCGATCCTTCAAGAGAGAACAGAAGGCCGGTAATGTTAAGCCAGACCAAATCAACCCAACGAAGAAGTAATAAGAGAATAGTACTACTGCTGTAGTATCAAAAAAAGATCTGCTATATCTTGTTGATGTAGGTAATATCCTAAACATTGTTTATGATGATAACTCTTGGATTGTCGATTTTGGTGCTTCCTTCCATGTTACTCCACATGGAAGTTTCTTCTCATCCTACCTAAGCGGTGACTTTGGTATGGTGCAAATGGGAAATCAAGACAGGAGCAAGATCGTCGGGATAGGAGACATCATTCTGACGACAAGCAGTAGATGCAAGCTTATCTTAAAAGATGTGAGGCATGTTCCGGCGATGCGCCTCAATCTTATCTATACTAGGAAGCTAGATGATGCTGGTCTGATAAATTATTTTGGTGAAGGAAAGTGGAAGTTCACCAAAGGAAGCCTAATAATGGCTAGAGGAAAGAAACAAGGGTCATTGTACGTGATGCAAAGTAAGCTCTACAAAGGAAAAGTAAACATCACCACTGAAGATGTGGAGGTATGGCATAAACGACTTGGGCACATCAGTGACAAGGGTCTTCACATGCTCGCTCGGAAACAACTCCTATCTGACGTTAAAGGTAAACCACTTGATCCTTGTGCTCACTGTTTAGCTGGAAAACAACACATAGTTGCTTTCCAAAGATCTTCTCCCACAAGGAGAAAAAACATCCTAGACCTTGTACACACCGATATGTGTTCAATGTCTGAGAGATCAATAGGTGGTGCATTTTACTTTGTCACCTTCATTGATGATCATTCAATGAAGGTGTGGGTGCATCTGTTAAAATCGAAGGATCAAGTGCTTGACACATTCAAAGAATTCCATGCCCTAGTGGAGCGTGAGACCGGACAGAAGATCAAGTGTGTAAGATCCGACAATGGAGGTGAGTACAGAGGTCCTTTTAAAGCATATTGCAAGAAATATGGTATTAGACTAGAGAGGACTCCACCCAAGACACCACAATTGAATGGACTAGCTCAGAGAATGAATAGAACTATTGAAGAAAGAGTTCGATGTGTGCTCTCTCATGCTAAGTTACCCAAATCATTTTGGGGAGAAGCTATAATGGCAGTGGTTGACATTGTTAACCTCACACTATCAGTTCCCTTGAACGGGGGCATCTCAAAAGAAGTCTGGATGGGCAAAAAGGCTTCATACAATCATATCAAAGTATTTGAGTACAGGGCATTTGTTCACATACCCAAAGTTAAGAGAGCCAAGCTTGACGCAAAGACGAAAAAATGCATCTACCTTCGTTCACCTAAGGATGAATTCAGTTATCGATTTTGGGATTCAGTCAATAAGAAGGTTGTTCGTAGTAGAGACGTTTACTTCGAAGACCAAACAATCGAAGATATCAAAAATTCAGAGAGACCAAGATTGAAAAGTATCAAGAATAACAAACCTACTCCAATTCGACGTAAGGATAATAATACACAAGAAAACAATGATGCTGAAGATCTTTAACCTATGTTAGAGAAAAGCAACCAGGAGACTCATGATGAACCAACTCAGAAAAGCCTCAATCTAGTTCTCCAACATCACCAGAGCCGAGATGATCCTCGAGAGATAGAAGACCATCCACTTGGTATAATAAAGATGAGTATGTTATGCTAACTGATGAGGGGGAGCCTCAAAGCTATAACGAATCAATTAGTGATAGTCATAAAGAAGAATGAAGAAGAGCCATGCAAGAAGAGATGCAATCCTTGCATCTGAATCATGCTTATAAACTTGTGGAGCTACCAAAAGGGAGAAGAACATTGAAGAATAAGTGGGTGTATAGGATCAAAATCGAAGATAATAACTCAAAGCCTCGCTATAAAGCTTGGTTGGTCGTCAAAGGATTCAGACAAGAAAAATGTATAGACTTTGAAGAAATATTCTCTCCCATGGTAAAGATATCATCCATCTGTATGGTCTTTGGCTTAACAGCCGTGCAAGATTTGGAGATTGAACAACTCGATGTCAAGACGACGTTCCTACATGGCGATTTAGAGGAAGAAATCTACATGGATCAGTCTGAGGGATTCAAAGTTCCAGGCAAAGAAAATCTAGTGTGTCGTCTGATTAAGAGTCTATACGGGCTTAAGCAAGCACCAAGACAATGGTACAAAAAGTTTGACTCTTTCATGGTTGAACATGATTTCAAAAAGACGAAAAGCGATCATTGTGTCTTTATGAAAAGGTATGCAAGTGGCGACAATCAAAGTACAATTTATCTGGCAAAGAATTCAACATTTTATTCCCGCGCAAAGCACATAGACACTAGATATCATTGGATCCAAGAAGTTCTCGAAGAAAAGAAAATACATCTTGACAAGTTTCACACAGATGAGAACTAATCAGACATGAGGACCAAGGTAATGCCGACAAAGAAGTTCGAAGATTTTTGTCAAGGTGCCGGCTTGCTAGTACCTCTCAATTAAGTCCAGAGGGAGAGATTTGTTGGATCTCTCCTTAATTGGAGAGGTTCTATAAAATTCTAGAGCTTTCTAGAGAAGTGTAGAATTTTCTAGAACATTTCGGAGAACTCTAGAGAAGTGTAGAACTCTCTAGAAGCTTGTGGAAGAGTGTGAAATCCTCTGGAATATTCTGGAGATGTGTGGAACCTTATGGAAGAATATGGAAGGGAGTGGAAGGGTGTAGATCTTCTTAGAATGTGTGGAGCATTCTAGATAATTAATCTCCACCCTTGGATGTAAGTTATCTCCACCATTCATTGTGGAGGTGGAGTAGTATAAATAGGGGTGAGAGACTTATTCCTAACCATCTAAGAAATCCAAGCTTGAGAAACTAGAGAAACTAGAGAGTTAGAGAGCCTCTTTGAGAGAGAAAATAGATAGCTTGGGAAGTCTTTATCCTCAAGCTTGAGTGAGCCACCAAGTGTGAGTCAAATTTTGTGAACGCATCCTTATAATCATACTATTCTTTTGTATAGTGGAAGAATCTCCAAATTGGAGAATTATACGCTTGTTCTCTCTTTACTATCCTTATTCTCTAAGTGTCTATCTTAACTTCATAAAGCGGGAAAAATCGTGATTCCCAACAAAGCATTAATAGGTGTTTACAGTAAGTTGGAAATTTAATTAACTGCGTGAAACTATCATTTCAAAAATCATTTTCTTTCGCATACTTCTACTTATCGATACCAGACCCGTTAATTCTGATTCAAATCTGAAAATTTGATCCAATCTACTTAAAACTATGACGGACACAAGTCAACCTTATAACTAAAACATGTTTTGCACTGTCGCGAATTGACGTTTATTACTCTTATGATTTGCACTTTTGTGTGGTGTAACTGTTTTAAGTGTGACATTCACAAAAGAAGAAATACAATTAAAAGGCAGACTAATGGGAAAAATATCTCAACTTAAACAAGAGTTAGATGTGAGTAACAAGTTGGTGGAGGTTTCCAAAGAAAGATATGGTAGGTTAGAAAGAGAGTTTTAGGTTTTGAAAGAAAAAGAGAATTCTTTGCGGAAATCGGTCTCTGAATCATCTGAAGCTCACATTTGTAACTGATCAAAAGGAATTTAGTGTTGCTTTCGCTTCTCGACAGATATCACTTGCGTCGATTCATGGTGAGTTCAAATCGAAAATGGAGAAATCCAGAGCTGAAAATACAGTTCCCCTGCACAAGTCTGTACAATATTAAAGCATATAAATTTTATTTCTCCTTTGTTCCCATTTTCTTCTAATATATTGAATGTTGGGGGTAAACTACATTAAATACCACCAAACTTTAGACGTTGTATAACTTATACCACTTAACATTCAATTTTACCAATTATAATATTAAATCTTGAATTTCGGTTCAATTATACCAATAGGTTGTTAAATCGTCAATAGTCAAATCAAAATGACCTCATTTTAGTGAGGTGTCTACGTTGACAACCGTCAGCCATGTCGACAGTCGTCAACCACATCATTGCGTCATTAATGATTTAATGGTTCAGTGGTATAATTGAAATAAAAATCAAAATTCAGTGTTATAATTGGTAAAATCGAAAGTTCAGTGGTACAAATGGTATAACATCTAAAGTTTGATGGTATTTTATGTAATTTACCCTATAATTTATGATCATTACATAAACGTTGGATCTATCAGTAGACTCCAAGTTGTTGGGATATGTGCCCAGAATAGCCAGTTTTCATTTCAAATATCAACTTCCTTTTCGAAGTTAAAACTGCAACAAGCAGTTAATAATAATAGGGTAAATTATATCAGTGACTATCTAACTATAATCTCTTTTCATTTTGACCATCATTTTGAATTTTTACCAATCAGGTCACTCAATTATTATTTTTAATCATAATTTAAATTTAATTTAATAAATTTAATCTTCAATTAAATAGTGACACATATTAGAGAATATTTTATTAATTTTAATTATTAATTTTATTTTATTTTGTATACAATAAGATGGATACATGCAAAACATTGCAAAGAAATAAAACAATACTTGTAGGGGTTTGAACCTACGGGCATGCCTAAACCATTAGGCCAAGCCCCTTATTTCATATTGGTTAACAACATTTTATATATAAGTTATTATAAATAATGACAGAGGGGAAAAAAGAAAAAGAAAATTAACATGCTTATAGTGGGATTTAAGGGGAAGTGCTAGCATTTTAACCATTATATTAAGCTATATATTTAATTGAAATTTACAATATTATATATGTTGCAAATTATTGAAAAATAGTGTTGTAGTATTATAATCTAAAAATTATGTTTCAATAATAAAGTTAAAAAATTGAAATTAAAATAGAACATGTAATCGGATAGAACTGAATAAATAGAAGGAAAGTTTTGTTGAGGTCTGAATGAACATTTTCTAATTTTTTCCAACAATCCCCTACATGAATGAAATTGATTATTTCAATCATTGAATCGATATGGTGATAGATTCTACGTTCGATATTTGCATGGGATAGGTAGGCGTCCCCCTTTGAACCTTCCCTTGTGAAAATATATTTACCTTACTGGCTGTCCAGTATATGTGATGTCCTTGAACTATCCTACCGTTGGTGTAAGCGATGACATACCTCACACAAATATCTCACTAACAAGAATTTGATTCTCATGGTTATGTCCATATAACTATGGACATCTCAATGAAATTGATTATTTCAATCATTGAATCGATATGGTGATAGATTCTACGTTCGATATTTGCATGGGATAGGTAGGCGTCCCCCTTTGAACCTTCCCTTGTGAAAATATATTTACCTTACTGGCTGTCCAGTATATGTGATGTCCTTGAACTATCCTACCGTTGGTGTAAGCGATGACATACCTCACACAAATATCTCACTAACAAGAATTTGATTCTCATGGTTATGTCCATATAACTGTGGACATCTCCTAATTCTACAAGAGCTTAGAGAACTATACCCTGATAGTCTCTTTGAAGCGGCTCCTCTTCACTCTCACACAAGTGACTTATGTTGTTCGACTCACCAAAACACATAGTGGTCATTAAAAACATTGCTTAACCTTTTCCATATTTTAGTCACTGTTTTCATCATAGGAATGGACTTGGGGATAAGAACCCCCACAATGACCTCACAAGGTCTATGCAAGTAGGTTGTCCCATTGAACTTAGATCTTGGGATCTCCAGTCAACTAAGTTGGGTTTTTCTTCACATAGTGGCTTAAATATTAATGGTCTTTTGTCACATTCATTTCGATGTTTATCAACTTGATCTACATTCAACTCATTATTTAGCAGATCCACAATGTTATCTTTTGATCTTACAAAATCAATATAAATAACTCTAGTTGAGATCAATTGTTTAATGATATTATGTCGATGACGTATGTGTCTCGACTTACCATTATACTTATACAAGGGACCCCCACACTTTGATGTAGTTGTAGAAAGTTTTCTACATTTCCATAATGTTAGAGTATGCCCAAAGACCAATCATACAATGATTGTAATAATACATTTATTTACCAATTTTATTAAATAAAGGCATTGCCAATATTATTTTCAGTTATATGTCTGTGTTTAACATAAAGTGAAAGATAATAAAGCCCATATAATAACATTATTAAAAGATCCATAGTCAAGTATTATTATGGGCATTGACAATAATAATACGCTTAAGAGTAACATGTTATTGATTGATGACAAGGAGTTGTCATTGACATAGAGATATCAGAATTGATACATGATTATATTGTTAGAGAACAATATATTGGATTGACCCATCATGAGCATATGTCTTGGATTATTATGTAACGGTCATAACATTGCTCATGGTGATGACTATATGTATGATCCTCAGACTTGAGATCAATGTCATCCCATCATATATTGTTGTATGTTTTGATACAGATAAACATGCTCCGTAACTGTTGCACTACAAAGATTGTTATTGGATATATCTCAATATATGTAATGGGGTGTATATGGTTAAGGTAGGATTTATCCTGCCTACATAATATGAAATATATCACAGGCCACTTGATTGAGTGAGACTAGAAATGCATGGCCATGCTCAAATAAGTTGAAATGTGATATCACAAATTATTCGTTAATTATAGTCTACTCTAGATATCAAGAAACAATAGATGGGCTATACAAGTGTGACTATTCTAAGACTTGTTCCTATTCTAGATATAAAAGACAGAAGGATGTAATACATAAAAGAGTTAATCACAAAGAT